CTTATACGTGGAATCTAAAGAACTTAATAAACTGATGAACAGAATAGATTCAATGACATGGAAGCATAGATGAGACTGATGAATGTCAGAGGGATGGAGGAGGGCGGGTGGGTGGAGGGGGAGAGAGTAACCAAAGAATTTATGTGCATATATACACAACCCAAGGACATGGACAATGGTGGGGAGAGGGACTGGGGAGAGGGAAGGAATGGGGTGGAACGGGTCATTGGGGAGAAAAAGGGACATCTGTAATATTTTAAACAATAATAAAACTTAAAAAAAAAAATAAGCATATTTGAAATGATCAAGACTAGTGGAATCATTTTATCTAAAGTTAAGTATAGTCTGGACATTGTGCCACTTTTGAGTTGTGTACTGGGTTTCCCTGGATTCATCTTCAGATAATGAAGTATTTACACACATAAAGAACTTAAGGATGTGCTAAAGGTCTTACCCCAAACCCTTAGAACAATGTCTAGGACATAGATGTCAATATATATCTCTTCGATGAATTAATGCAAGAAATAATTTATGGATCCTTACTAATTATAGAAAAGAATATTAAGAATTGGGAGAAAGGCTTAACAAATGTGGACAATAGGAAAATTCTAAAAAAAAAAGTTATAAGAATTATTTTCCATATCTTTCATCCATATTTTTCTCCAGGGTTATTTTTATTTTTTTTGTTGATGAGTAAGATTTTTAAATATATGTATAAAAACACACATATATATGCTAAGCATTGCTTATATTGAAAATATCTAAATATTTTCCCCAAGTACTTATTGTATTTTCTTCTTTTGGCTTGACTTTTGCAGTACAATGTTTTTGATTCAAATATATTTCGTGAATGTGAGATTGTTTTGTACAATGTTTTAAAAATCCTGCCCTTTTTTGATGTTGCATGGAAAGTCCCCTTTATTACCTTCTGGGTCTGTTTTTCATGGATAGATTTTTAACACACCTGGAATATATCTTCATGTCTTTTATAAGGTAGTGGAAGAATTTCATCTTATTTTTTCTATATGGAGAGCTGCTGGTCTTCTGCTACCAGTACATTGGCATAACTACTGGTCACAGCACAACTTCTAACTTCAAGAGTGGGAGCAAATTTAATCTCCCCTGTAACAAAAAATGAGGGAGAACTGGATATTGGTAAACACTAATATTGTATGCCACACCGTATATTAAATTATCTGTTCCTTTCTTTTGATTTGTAATGCCACTTCTAGAATAGTGTCACTTTCAAATGTGTATTTATAGGTCAAAAATACATTTATAGAACTATCAATCTTCTTTTTC